TCTTCTAACAGTTGGTCTTTCCTGAGATGTGTTCAAAGTAAGTGAGATGAAGTCTTGCCATCCTCACTTCTAAGGAACATTCTGCTTGTATTTCTTCTAAGACTGATTTGTTCATTCTTCTAGCAGTCCATGGTATATTCAGTATACTTCACCAATACCACAGTTCAAACACATTAATTCTTCTGTTTTCCTTTTTCATTCCTTTTTATAGCTGTGTAGTATTCCATTTCACGGGTGTACTGTCATTATTTAACCAGCCTGCTACTCATGATGTTTCCAAGGCAGCAGTAAACTTGGGTCATTTCACTTGCATAGCTCTATAGGGTATATTTTTAGAAATGGATTTACTGTGGCAAAGATGACTATTTGTAGTTTAAAGTGTGATAAATATTCCCAAAATTTTCTGCAGAAAAGTACCAATTTGCTCCCCCTCCAGCAATATGTGAACATACTTATTTTCTCACACCCTCACCAACCCATGAGTTGTTGAACTTTTCGGTCTTGCAAACGGATGGATGAAAACAGTATCTTCTTGTTCCTGACTCTATTTTGAATGCCTTTTCTCCCTCCCAGGGTGGAAGTATGGTACCTGCCCTCATGCTTCACATCCCAAAGTTCTTCTGCAGTGATTATATGCTTCCTTCTACCCTCTTCATCTCAAAAAATTGTTTTTCTAAGTTGGGAAAGCCTGATCTTTCTTAATCCTAGCTTTCTCTAAGCTCCATTTTTAAGTCTGGAGCTCCAAACACTAACTTCTCTGAGTCTGAAGGGGTTGGCAGGAGCAGCTCGCTCTGTGACTGTGAATTGGTCCTGAATTAGTTTCTAAGTTGCCTTGTTGTCCCTTATGCTGTCTCCTGTCTGCTCTCTCAAAACTAGTCAGAAATGAGATTGTACACCTCCTGGTTCTATAAGTCCATTGGCCACCCTGCTACTGGGACTCTTACCAGTTCCTTTCTCTGCAGACTTCAACCTCCCCACAAGTTGCAGGCACTGTATCTCCTCCCTGCTCATCTTTCTTCTTCTTTCCTCTGACTCCTGCTGGCCCCATTCCCAAACTACCAACTACAGAGCAGTTTAGGGGCCCCTGGGTAATGCAAACAGTTAACGTCCCTGGCTGCTAATGGAAAGGTTGGAGGTTCGAATTCACCCAGAGGCACTACAGAAAAAAGGCAAGGCGATCTACTTCTGAAAGATCAGCCATTGAAAACCCTACGGAGCACAGTTCTACTCTGACACACGTGGGGTCGCCATGAGTCGGAGTTGACTCGAGGGTAACTGGTAACAAAACAGTTGAGCCATCACTTCAATTTGCATTTTTCTTTCAGAGCTTGCCATGAAGAGGCCCCAGGGCTAACACTGGTCCAGGAGCTGATTTTCCTCAAAAATATGTCGTTCTGTCCCCGAGAGAAACTCAGCTGCTCCAGTATCAATGTTTTCACTCACATCTTGTCCATGTGTGTCAGTTTTGCAAGGGGAAGTAACTTAAGGATTTGATTTAGAACCATTTCTGAACCAAACCCTAGAGGACTTCATAATTGACTCTGACACACTACACAAGCCAAGTTTGTGTGTGTTGTCAGCTAAGAAGTGAAAAAAACTCTCTGGTTTATTTACAAATAACAGGGCTGTTTCTTAACCTTGTGGCTCTTTTGAAGCTGAAAGAAGTTTATGTTTCTGGTTGTTGTTATCTGAAATATAGTAATTCAGTAATTTCTGGAATGCCGTAAATATTTAACTTAATAAGGAGATTACTTGTCTCCGTTTCTTGGTAAAAAGGAGACAAATATTTGACGAGGGATATATCTTTTGCCTCTACAGATTTTTCCAGAGACTGTCTTCCTACGTTTTGGTACACAAGATTGTCATTAAACAAAAACAAAACTAGACTTCTCACCCAAAAGGAACTGATTTGGCTAAATTGCCTCATGGCCACGGGGCACTTGGGTCAGTCCTTTGCGCGTACAGTCTCTCCCGCCTCACGGAGAGTAGCCTGAACTACATTCCCCAGAAAACCCCCTTCTGTGTGAAGTCAGCCAGTTAGAGGAGCTCCAGGAGACTTGAGAGACCATCATTCCTCAAGGACAGGCCCAGTGAGGTGTGTGAGCCGAGGCAGGTGTGTGGTGAGCAGCCCGAGCTGCAGGCTGAGAAAGGCACAGAAGCTCTCGAGGTATCTTGGCTTCCATGGAAGCTCCTGAGGATCACTGCCTCAGTCCTGCAGGGAGATCCAGCGATGGGTTCCCTGGCCTTAGCTCCCCACTGGTTGCAATGGTTAGGTTGTTAGTTGCCATCCCACTGGCTCTGACTCATGGTGATCCCATCTACAACAGAACGAATCACTGCCCGGGCATGTACCATCTTCACAGTCTGTTGTTGCGGCTGCTGTGTATTTTGAGTATCTTCCAACCTGGGGGCTTATCTTCCAGCACTAGATCAGACAGTTTTCTGTCGTGATCCATAGCATAGGGTTTTCATTGGTTACTTTTTGGAAACAGATATTCAGGCTTTTCTTCCTAATCTGTCTTAGACTAGAAGCTCCACTGAAACCTGTCCACCATGGGTGACCCTGTTAGTATTTGACATATTGGTGGCATAGCTTCCAGCATCAGAGCAACACGCAAGCCGCCGCAGTATGACAAACTGACCAATAGGTGGTAGTGCAGTGGTTCTGTGGTCCGCTCATTCCCTACATTAAAACTCTTCTACTTAGAATACATAGAATGATCTTTTTTCTCCCAGACTGAACCCTAACAAGTACCTCGTGGGGTTTATAGCAAATGTAGAAGTAAAATGTGTAACAACAACACAAAATCTAGGGGAGGGGAAATGAAGTAAACTGTTGTAAGGTTCTTATGTTATATGTGAGTGGTCTAGTATTACTTTAAGGTGGACTGTGGTAAGTAAAACATGTATACTATAAGTTCTAAAATAACCACTAGAAGAAAAAGGTACAGCTAATAACCAGCAGATGAGATAAAATGGAATCATATGAAATACTCTGTTAATCCAAAGAAAGCAGAAAAAGGAGAGGAACAGATGGAACAAATATAAGACTGCAAGATGATACATTTCAATCCAACCATATCAATGATTACAATGTAAATGGTCTAAACACCCCAACTGAAAGGACTTGGATTGAATAAAAAAGCAGGACCTGTGTTGATCAAAGGTACAGAACTGTACACTAATATGGATCAATTATTGTTTAGGAACCATTGAGTCCTATTACAGTGACAGAAAAATTGGCAGTGGTTATTGGTGATGGTTGCACAACATGATCGGGGCAGATAAACCAGTAAGCAAGGTACGCACGAAAACAGGTGAAATTGTGCACTACAGATTAGTAAGTAAGCACAAGTAAGCCCGTGCATGCCTTGCTTTTTGGGTAATCCATCCCTGATACATGATTGATGTATTGATGTCGCTGGACTGTACGTGTGAAAAACGTTGAATTGGCAAATGTTGTGTTGTCTGTATTTTACAACAATAAAACGAACTTAGAAATTAGTAAAGGGAACACATGAATGCTACACAATGTTACTGACAGGCAGAAGTGAGCAGATCTACCTGGCAGGGTCAGGAAAGGCTTCATGAAGGATAAGATGCCAGCATCTTGAAGGTTTGTGGGTGTCGCCCACCTGGTGGACAGCCTGGAGAAGCGCATTCCAGGCAAGGGGAACAGGATTGGCAGATTTAGCTGATTAGAGGTAAGAAACAGTCTGGTGGGTTCTGGGTACTTTCAAGTTTGGGAAGTCAGGAGCCTAAAGGTACAAGGTGTGGGGAGGTGACCCAAAGATGATGCTGAAGCAGGTTGTGGAGGCCTTGTATGTTTGTTTGGTAAAGAACTTGGACGTGTTTCTTTAGCTGAGGAACTTTCAAAGATTTTTAATCAGGGAAATGGAGTCAGTTTCTACTGTAAGCAACTGCTCTGTCAGGCCTGTGGAAGGTGGGTGGGAGGGACCCCAGTTGGTGACTTATTACATTGTTCAGGTGGGAGATGAAGAAGTCCTGGACCAACAGAGTAGTGGACTTGGGAAGGGGCAGAGAGTCAGTGGGAAGTGGTGACAACTGAATATCAGAGGGGAAGGAAAGGGGCAAGGCTGGGGTGATATCCGTGTCTACACTCAGTGACGTGCAAGAAGAACTGGTTTAAGGGGGGATGTGTAGAGATCATTTTATCAACTTGGAGTATATTGAGTTGCTGTTTAACTTCAAAAGGCGAACTTGATTTTCCACTGTAATACTATTTGCACACAGCCCACGGCGGTGTACTTAAATAATTATCTAAGGCACCACCAAAAAAAACCAGTTGCCATCAAGTGGACTCAGACTCATGATGACCCTGCATGTATCAGAATAGAACTGTGCTCTGTAGGGTTTTCAGTGGTTGATTTTTTGGAAGTAGATTGCCAGGGCTTTCTTCCACAGTGCCTCTGGGTGGACTCAAACCACCAGTCTTTCGATTAGCAGCTGAGTGTGTTAACCATTTGCACCACCCAGGAACCACAGTAGAGCAAAAAGCCCTACTGAGGGGTTAAATCACGAGGATCCCGAGCAGGTAAGTTGACAGCTAATGGTTTGCCCACTTGTCTTTGTCTGCCAGCTTCTCACAGGGCAGTTGTGGAACCTGAAGGACTCCCAACCATATTGGGTTCACACATCGCCTATAGGAGGGGGGCTCAGAGACCCCTGCTGTTGTGACTTAAAGAGAAAAGCTCGCATGTTGTTAGAGAGGTGGCAGTAAAAGTGGAGAGCCCTATGCGGGAAACCTTCTCCCATTGAGAACTGTGTTTTGGGTGGAGCTGACTGCTCTCTGAGCCCTCGCTTTGGGGAGTGTCTCGTGGCCCAGGGAGAAGGCAGGCGTCTTGTGTGTTCTGGGCTGGCTGGTTCCTTTCCTTGCCTGTCACACTCCTGGCTGCTCCTGCACACGTGTCTTTATTTTGCCATTCTCCGCTGGATGCCTGACCTGTTTTCAGACCCTTCCTTGGCCCCCTGTGTTTCAGCCCGAGAGAAAGTTTGGCGTGGTGGTGGTTGGCGTTGGCAAAGCCGGCTCTGTGCGGATAAGGGACTTGCGGGACCCACATGCTTCCTCGGCGTACCTGAACCTGATTGGCTTCGTGTCCAGGTGGCTTGACTTACTTTGTGCCTTATGATTCATGGGAAGCCCAGTGGGACACAGGGATCCCCCAGCCCCAGGGGAGGGCAGGCAACTCCAGCCTCAATCCAGAGCACTGTGTTTAGGCTCAGCCCCACAGGACCTCAAGCTTGGGTGGGTCTGGGACTGACGAGGCCGGGCCGGAGGTTGGGGTGTGCAGGGTCCACCTGGGGGTCTGCGAAGGCAGAGGTGGGGAAGGTGAGTGCAGGGTCTGACACAGCGGACGCTGGGTGGATTGGTCTGAAAGGAGGCTTGTTACTGCATGTTACATCAGTCATCATAACAGCATCCCTATGCAGAGACATCATTCTAGCCTCACCAGTTATTTGGCATAGGGACAATTAACCACCTGCTTTGTAGGTAAGAAAACTGAGCCACAGAGAGGTTAAGTACCGTGTCCCAGGCCACACAGGTGGGAAGTTTAAAAGCCCATCATTTAAACACTTGTGTTCTCTTCCCAGTGAGAATCTTAAGTTCCACTTTTGTTTTTAAAGATGCGCTTCCTGTGACTCAGATCAAAACCGAACCTGGTTTCTTCTTCCTGGCCCCACTCGCAACTCCTGCACGCATGCACTCTCACTCACTCACTCACACACACACACACACACACACACTCACACACACACACACACACACACACTCACACACACACACACACACACACACACACACCCACTCACCAAAACTGAACCTGGTTTCTTCTTCCTTGCCCCACTCGCAACTCCTGCGTGCGCGCGCACACACACGCACGCGCGCGCGCACGCACACACACACACGACTAACAGGAGAAATGTCATGCTGGGTGGTAGGCGTGGGGGCTCAGAGAAGGCAAGGGACACATCTAGTTTAGCGAAGGCTCCCAGGGTCGGGGAGAGAGTAAGACCTAGACAGGTAATGAGGAGCAGGGATGCGAGGGAGGGAATGATGTGAGGAATGGCAGGGGTGGGTGCAGAGAAGCCAGGGTGTGAGCTGGCCTTCTAGTCCTTTCCTCTCCGTCCCCCTGTGATCTGGGTAGTTGGGGGTTCCCCACTGCATCGCTCCTGGCAGCCAGCTGGCAGAGGACTGGTGCCTGAGGGAAAGGAGAAGCCCCACGTCAGCCTTGAGCCCAAGGACTGCGCTCCATCCCAGCTTCAAGTCGGCACCAGGGGGGTTAGTGCTGGCTAATCGTGACTGTGCTCTTCCACTTGCCACAGTCCCTGTGTGTGTGTGGCCCCTTGGGAATCTTACGGGGCAGGAGAGATCGGTTAGCAGCTGTGTGTGTGTGTGTGTGTTAGTCACTCCCTCTCCCAGACCGAGAGCTCGTTAGAAGGTTAGGATTTGAATCCTTCATCGTGATAGCCCCTGCAGTGCCTAGCACACAGTAGAAAAACAATAAGGCTTGGTTGAATCAAGCAGCCCCATAGGAAGCAAACTTGGCATGATATCCTTTGGCAGCTGAATGTCTCTGATCCTGCCTCCCCAGAGCTGGTAAAGGTGATAGCTGGGACTTGTCTGCAGGCCGAGGTGGGACATCCTCCCTCGCTGCTCTCCCTCCTCCTCCCCCTCACACAAGCGCTCCTATGCCCCTCTCTGCTGAGGCTTGAACTCTGAGCTGGCCGAGAGCCTCCTGCTGGCTGCCCGCACTCCTCGGTGATGGTGACCACCACCTCTCAGACGACTGTGCCTCTGTGCGGGGGCCCTCCCAGGGCTCTGGACTCTGCTGAAGCAGGAGCTCCTCACTCTGTAATTACTGAGTCAGAGACCTGGGGCGCCGATCCTACGGCTGCTGCTGGGGTAGTGCTACCTCTCGGGACATGGTCAGCTTAGCTGTAAAAGGAGGCAGCGACACGGCCCTTCTGCTTGGCCGTGATGTATGGAGGCTCTTGAAGCAGCACAGAGGTTGGCACACCTAAGGTGTTCCTGTGTTGGATTTGGGTTAGGTTTGGTAATTATAGTGTTGGGCCAAGTACCTAAAGCTAGAAGCCACTGTCGAGAACACTCCTCATAAGATAAAGAGATCTGTCCTTTTTGTTCTATAGATGAAGGAACTCAAAGGCTTCAGAGCCACCAGGTCACACAGCCTGTTAGTGATAGTATCAGTGCTTGGTGCCCGCTCTTCTGACTTCAGCCTGAGTCCGTTTTTCTCACACCTCCACGGAAAATGCCCTGAATTTGATCATCGGGACGTCATTGGGCAGAGGGGAGAAGGACGGTGTCATTTATTCTAAGCCAATCTTCTGCCTACTTTTGAATTCCGTTTCTCTCTTACTCTCAAATAGACGAGAGCTCCAGAGCATTGATGAAGTCCAGCAGATTTCTCTGGAAGATGCTCTTTCCAGCCAAGAGGTTGAGGTGGCCTACATCTGCAGCGAAAGTTCCAGCCACGAGGGCTACGTCAGGTGTGTTTCAATACAGGCAGGCCTCGCTTTACATAGGATTGCAAGACTGTGAAAATGCCATTCAAGCTGAAACTGGGCACAGCAGTCTCAGTGGGGAAAAAGTACAGTGGGTCCGTGAACTTTTAAAATTTCTGACAAAACCTTAAAAACTCTTACTGTCAGTTATAAATGTATAGGGAAATGTGAAAAATAGTGAAACTAGTATTTATTGGTTGTCGTGTTATTAGCTGACTCATGGCGAGCCGGTGCACAATGGGATCGGACCATTGTGATCCATAGGGCTTTCATTCACTGATTTTCAGAAGTAGATCACCAAGTCTTTCTTCCTAGTCTGTCTTAGTCTGGAAGCTGTACCTAAACCTGTTCAGCGTCACAGTAACACCCGAGCCTCCACTGACAGACGAGTAGTGGCTGCACATGAGGTGCATTGGCCAGAAATCGAATCTGGGTTTCCTGCATGGAAGGTGAGAATTCTCCCACTAAACCACCAAAACCAAACCAAACCCATTGCCGTTGAGTCCATTCTGACTCATAGTGACCGTATAGGACAGAGTAGAACTGCCCCATAGGGTTTCCAAGGCTAAAATCTTTACAGAAGCAGACTGCCACATCTTTCTCCCGCAGAGCGGCTGATGGGTTTGAACCGCTGACCTTTTTGGTTAGCAGACGTAGCTGTTAACCACTGTGCCACCAGGGCTCCCACTGAATGACCACTGCCCTCTAATATTTATTTAGTAGTACACTGTAATTTAAAGCACTGCAAACATCAAGAATTAAAGTGTTTTATTTCTTTACAAAACACTTCTCAATAGTAGTTGGCACAGTGCTTGCTTCCTTCTCATTATGTAATTTAGGGTGCAGTTAAACACATCTTTTCTGTGCCTTGGCAAACAGTCATATGTCTTTCTAAGTATGAACCACTTCCAACACTTTGTCTTCTGCATTTTTAGTGTTGTGAAATATCTGTGAGAGTTCCCTTAATGTGAAGTTTTTTTTGCCACGAGATGAGTTAATGAGGAAGTAGTGGTGGAATCGATGCGGGGAAGTAACATTGCATGTGGAGCAGGGGGAGAAGCGAAGAAGTGAAAGCAAAGCTGAGAGCCCTTTGAGCATTTGGTGGGACCAGGCTGGGAGGAGGACTCCCAGGCAGCACGTGACAGCTGACAGAGCAGTACCAGCCCCCTCCCTGAATCTTAGCTTTCTTTCTCCATTCCTACACTTAACTGTAGCTTCCCTGCCCTCTTTATTAGTCCAACTCCAGTATAGACATACACGCCTTTGTTTGGAGCCCCTTGACCTTCTCAGGCACCAGGGTTTTTTTCCTTTAAAAACAGAAGTGATCCCATAACTCATGCTTATAAGTGGTTGCACCCTGTTATCTATAGAATGGAATCCCTGGGTGGTGCTAAGAGTTAACATACTAGACTGTTAACCAAAAGATTGAAGGTTCAGGTCCACCCAGAGGTGCCTCGGAAGAAAAGGCTGGTGATCTACTTCTGAAAAATCAGGCGTTGAAAGCCCTATGGTTCACTTAAAGAATAAATAAATAAACCAACCAAATTGAATATTAAATTTATACCCTCAAAATGCATAAAACTTAGCCAGGAGCTGAGCGCGTAATTGAAACTCATGCGTCTGCTACACATTTTACATTGTGGCTATGGGTGAGCATGGGGGAGGGAGTAAACATCTAAAGTCAGCTAAGTGTTATGTACATTTCTATAGTGTAAGAATTTTTTTTTTTAAATCATGCATCTTGCAATTCTTCAATCCAATAAAAATGGTAATATGTTCAAATAAAAAAAGGAAGAAAACCGTATAGAGAACAGTTCTGCTCTGACACACGTGGGGTTGCCGTGAGTCAGAGTTGACTCAGTGGCATCTGGTACTTGTTATCTGTAGAATAAAATGCAAACTCCCGAGCACAGCGTTCTAGGTCCTTCACAGTCAGGCTCCCACCTACTCTTACAATCTCATTTTCCCCCGCTCCCTACTGCCATGCTGAAATTCACACCATCTCCCAAATGGACAAAACCCCATAAAATGCTCTTCTCCTGCATATGCTGCTCAAGTGAAATACCCTTCATCCTATTGCACCTGGAAAACTCCTACTCATGCTTCAAGACCCAGTTCATATGTCCTTAGTGAAATATTTTCAGGTTACTTCAGGGCAAGCTAGCTGCCACAGGTCTTTATTTATAGCTGTCATGTGGTATTGTAATTTACCTGTCGGTACATCTTTATTTCTCCTCCAGAGTAACTGGCAACGAAAACCAAACCAAACCAATCCTGTTGCCATCAAGTCAGTTCGACTCATATTGGCCCTGTGGTAGAACTACGCCATAGGGTTTCCAAGCTATAAATCTTTATGCCACATCTTTCTCCCATGGAGCAGCTGGTGGGTTCGAACTGCTGACCTTTTCACTAGCAGCTTAACCACTGTGCCACCAGGCCCTTAACTGGCAACTAGTAACTGAATAAATGAATGTTTAAATTAGTACATAACCAGAAAGTCATTCTCGCACAGGAATAATAAAAATATAAATACTTCTATTTTCTATTGTTTCTATTGCAAATAAAAAATAATGTAAGATACTTCCTTCATGTTCTTTGTCACTGACCCTGACCCCCATTTCTTCATGACACGTTTGCACCCAACGGGGCATAGTGGGCAGACTTTTATAAACTCTTGGGAATTTGTAATATTCTGTTCTCTGTCATGCCAGGCATTTTAGTGAAGCTTATTTCAGGTGTACTTTTCCTCTATTTATCTCTTTTTCCAAAGGCAGTTCCTAAATGCTGGCAAACATGTCCTCGTGGAATACCCCATGACACTATCTCGGGCAGCAGCTCAGGAACTCTGGGAGCTGGCTGAGCAGAAAGGTGACGTATGTTCTGTCTGTCTGCAACATAGACCCTCTCCTGTCTCCAAGGTTTCTGTGGTGTCTTATCCCTTTAATACTTAACCCCCATTTCAGATATGTTGCCCTGGCTACACTGGACCTGTGGGGCTGCACAGCCCCTTCCCATCCCTTCCCACCCCATACTGAGGGCACACATGGGGGCTGGGTGAGGAGTGGCAGGGAGAAGGGTAGGTGGGAATTTGCAAACTTAGGTTCTTTTTACTCTGATGAAACATATGAATTAGCTTCTACCTATCCTAAGGTCTTGATATTATTTTGATTATATTTACATGGTATTTACATTGCTAATGGAAAATGCTCAAATCAGAGTAACCGATTGTCTTGTATACATACTTTGTAGTTTCTCAAAAGGAATAATCATTTATTAAATATTCATTATATACCAGCACGTCATATAAGTTATTTGTGTAAAGCTCCTATAAATCCTTGGTTGTAGGTATTTCTCAACTGGACTCTGAAGTGTACACTTGTTTCCCTAAGATACACTGCCCTTCTGAGGTCTTCATGCCTTACAATAACTGGCCAGCCCCTCTATGGAGGCAACTAGAATGAACTAGAATGTGTAGAAATTGGAGGAGCTAGTTACACAAAGTTTGAATGACAAACTCTCTTTGTTTCAACATTTGCTGTTGAAAGTCTTTAATATATGAACAAAGTATGTGAACAAGTATAATGAAAATCACCAAACAAAGCACCTTGTGCTTATCACCAACATAGACTGATCACGCCGTAGTGAACCTCTTCCGTGTCTTTCTCCAGCACTGGGCTGTGCTTCTGGAGAGCAAGGACCATCTGTCCCCTCTGTAGCTCTGGAAGCTGAACAGTGGCTGGAACCTAGTAGTCCTTCAGTAGATGGTTGTTGAATGAAAAGATGGATGAATGAATGCAGAAGTGAAAGAGACTTGGGGAGCTTCGAGGTCATCACCTTTGTATATTATTTCTCATGGCACAGATGTCCATGGAGAAAGTACAAGATGCCAAAGTATGCCCAACAGATGGCTTACTGGTTGCAAAGGGAATATGTACTTTGACAATGGCGAGCTCTGCTGGTCGCCACACTAACCAAATGATGGTGAACATAGGTCAGCCTGGCATCACGAGCCTTCCAGTGCAGTGCAGTAGGAAGTACACAGCCTCACCCATGAAGTATTCTTGCAAAATATTTACCTGAATACAGTGGAGCTTTAGAACACAATTACAGTTCACGGGAAATACAGGGATGGAGAAACAAGTTAAATGACACCATTAAAAAACCAAGCAAAATAACTGGACTAAACCAAAAGCTAAGAAGTTTCCTGAATACAACCAAACACTTCGAGGGACAGAGTAGCAGGGGCTGGGGTCTGGGGACCATGGTTTCAGGGGACATCTAGGTCAGTTGGCATAACAAAGTTTATTAAGAAAATGTCCCCCATCCCACTTTAGTGGGTGGCGTCTGGGGTCTTAAAAGCTAGCGAGCAGCCATCTAAGATGCATCAATTGGTCCCAGCCCACCTGGAGCAGAGGAAAATGAAGAACACCAAAGACGTAAGGAAAATATTAGTCCAAGAGACAAAGGGGCGACATAAACTAGAAATTCCATCAGCCTGAGACCAGAAGAACTAGATGGTGCCTGGCTACCACCAGTGACCGCTCTGACAGGGAACACAACTGAGAGTCCCTGATGGAACAGGAGAAAACTGGGGTGTAGAACTGAAATTCTAGTATAAGACCAGACTTAATTGTCTGACTGAGACTGGAGGAATCCTGGAAGACAGACTTTCTGTTAGCCCAAAACAAAAACCACTCCCGAGGCCAAATCCTGAGACAAAGAATAGATTATGGGACATAAAATGATACTTGTGAAGAATGTGCTTCTTAGCTCAAGTAGATACATGAGACTAAATGGGCAGTCCTGTCCGGAGGCAAGATGAGAAGGCAGAGAGGGTCAGGAGCTGGTTGAATGGACACGGGTGTCCTGAGTGGAAGGGAGGAGTGTGCTGTCACAGTATAGGGAGAGCAGCAGCTGGGGTCGCGTAACAATGTGTGTGTGGATTTTTGTGTGAGTGGCTGACTTGAGCTACGAGCTTTCACTTAAAGCACAATTAAAAAAAAAAAGAATGGTATAGAGCTAAATCTATTGATCTGGAAGTTTGTCCCTGATGTACTGTTAGTAAGAAAGTTTCCAAATAGTCCTTATAGTATGATTCCACTTTTTTAAACACATGGTAAAACCCTATTTTACAGGTATTTAAAAAAAGGAAAAAACAAGCAAATTATAATGTGCGACATAAGTTTCTTCAAAAAGACAATGAACAGTACATAGTAACTTACTTCCAAAGAGGTCAGTATGGAGAAGGGGGAAAAGAGTCACTTTACAGTGGAGAAACCAGACAAACACCGCCTCCATCAGATGCTGGAGATCAACATCAACAGTGACAAGTCATGTTGATACTATGTACCCTTGATAGAATTTGATGAGAATGGCACTTTGCCTCTGTGTTTTTCCTTCCCAAAACCCATAACCTAACCATGAGAAAAACATGAGACAAAATCTAATTGAGGGACATTCTACAAAATATCTGACCAGTACTTCTTAAAACCATCAAGGTCATCAACAACAAGGGAAGTCTGAGAAACTTTTCAACCCAAGAGGTCCCTAAGGAGACATGGCAACTAAATGTAATATAGTAGCCTAGATGGGATTCTGGAACAGAAAAAGGACTTTGGGGAAGAACTAAGGAAATCTGAATAAAGTATGGCTTTACTTAATTTTTTTTTTAATGAGAAAATATCAAGGACCACTGTTATTTTGGAGCCTTGGTATTAGTCCCTTAAACAAGCATAATCTGAGTGGGTATGTATAGATCATGAATGGATTAAAAAAAGAAGAAAGCCCTTAACCATGAAATGACTTTTGTTCTCTGGGAAGGTATTCATAGTTCATTCTAGACACATTGATTAGCAGCTTTTACGTAATGGTTACTGTCACATGAGACTGTGCTCAGTACTAGGGATACAAAAAGATAACCCTTGTCCTTGAGGGGCCTGCCAAACGTCCAGAAACCTTCACAGCCAGCAGTATTAACACACCTGTTGAAAGCGAAGTTTAGAGCCCAGGAAGTAGTCATCTTATTCAACTGTGCATACTTAAAATGTTATATTATTTTGAATGGCAAAAGTTATAGATAATTTGGACAAATGCGACAGGGATCCAGCAGTCTAATAGTGACTCTGCATACCTAGAGAAGTTGAAATATTCGATGTAAAGACGAAAAGACTAATGGAAGATCTGATAGCTGCCTTCAGATATATTGAAAGCTCTCCAGTAAGACCAGTTGCTGCCACGTCAGCTCTCACTGAAGGCAGTCTCATGTGTTTCACAGTAGGACCTAGCTCCACAGGGTTTTCAGTGATTGAGTGTTTGGGAGTAGGTTGCCAGGCTTTTCTTCCAAGGCACCTCTGGGTAGACTTGAACCACCAACCTTTAAAGGTAGCAGCCAAGCGTGTTAACCATTTGCACTACCCCAGGATTCCAAAAGCTCTCCATAGGAAGAGAAAATGACATGCCACTCTAGTTGGTATGGGGCAGATTATAGAGATGGAGATCTCAACTTTATGTAAGAGTTTCCTAAGAACCGTAACTGTTTCAACATTTTTACTTAGGGTGCCATAGAAAACAGTCTCAGCATTGGGTATCATGTAGTTGACTAGTGTGCTTGGTTAAGGGTGACTTCTGCATTTTAAATATCACAAATGGAACAAAAAATCCTATTTCCCTTTTCATAAAATTAAGACACACACATGAAATGAATCACAGTTGACAGCCCTGGGCCTGTTCTTCCTCTGCTTCTGGACTTTCTCAGAGTTAGGAAACGTGTTTCTCCAGCCCCTTCCTTCACCCCAGTCAGATGGGATAGCTTCCCATCTTTGATGCATTTAAAACAGGAAGTGGTGCATACTTTCTCTAGCACTTGCGTCAATGGTTGAACTAGTTTTAAAGCTAGAATCCTCTGGCATGAAGATTTCTAAGAAACAAATTTCTTTTCATCTACAAAAGCAGCTCTGAGTAGATCTACACAAAGGCCCTTGAAGCTTGAGTAATGATTCTATTACATATTACTCACCTGAATAAATATTGAATATCGTAAGTCCTTGTCTTTTTTAAATGAGGTATAACTTACATACAATAAAATGCAGAGATTTTAAGTGCAGAGTTTCAGTGAATTTTGACAGTGTACACCCATGTAACTACCATTCCAGCATATAGAACTGTGCGCTTAATGTGCACTTAATCACAAAATAGTTGTGGTACTTTATGAAGCTTCTGGACTAGATATGAAAAAAATCACAAAAACAAAAAATGTTAACAGCTTTTTCTTAGGATCCAAAGTTTTTGTTATGAATATTAAGGCTTTATCCTCCCTCCAACCTGGGTCATTAAAAAAAAAAAAAATCCTCTGGTTCTTCCAGCACTTTGAAATGAAGAGTCTAATTTTAGCATCCTCATTTAATCTTGAAGGTCCCTTTTCTATCCATGTTCTAGATTTTTGTGCTGCAGTGCCCCCTTCTGTCCAGAACAGAAGCTAACATCTGGCTGGCTCTCGGACATGTCCCTGAGACTACCTATTCTTTAGGGACAAGTGGATGCCGTCTTGCTTTGTTAGGTTTTCACTTCTGTTGGAAGCTTAGAACTGCCTCCACCGCTGCTGGGTATTCAGGGGTATGGTGGTGATGTCCTTCCCCCATACCCAGGGTGGTTCAGGGCGCTCTGTGTCCTTCTGTTCTGGAGGAAGACTCCAGGATGCACCACTGCCCACAAGTCAAGATGACTACCTTTTTTCTTTCTTTTTTAGTAACATGTATGTAACAAAAAGTCTGCCATTTTAACCATTTTTAGTTGTACAATTCAGGGACATTAATTACGTTTATCATGTTTTGCTGTCATCACCACTATCCATTTCTCAAAGTTTTTCATCACCCCAGACAGAAACTCTGTGCCCTTCAGCAGCAACTCTGCACTTCCCCTCCCCCAGCCCCTGGTAACCAGTAATAAACTGTTGTCTCTATGCATTTGCCTTCTCTCCGCATTTCATAGGAGTTCACACAATATTTGTTCCTTTGTGTCTGACTTATTTCACTCAGCATAGTGTTTTCAAGTTTCATCCATGTTATAGCATGCATCAGGACTTCACCTCTCTTTCTGGCTGAGTAATATTGCGTTGTATTTGGTGCCACATTTGTTTATCCATTCATCTGCTGATGCACACACAGTGGCTATTGTGAATAATGCTGCAGTGAACATTGGTGCACAGGTTTCTGTTTGAGTCCCTGAATAACTGCCTTTCTTACTTCGTGTTTGTCATGACAGGAAAAATCCTACATGAGGAGCATGTGGAACTTTTGATGGAGGAGTTTGCATTCCTGAAAAAAGAAGTGGTGGGGAAGGACTTGTTGAAAGGATCTCTCCTCTTCACAGGTCAGTTTTAGCGGGGCTGCAGCTCACCCTCCTGGAGAGGCCGGAAGGCCTTTGGGTTCTGGCCCAGCTTCCTAGGATGTGAGTTTGGGTTCCTTTCTACTAAAGACTCTGACTCAGGGCCAATTTAATTTAATTTTCCCATGCTTCAGTGAACAGTAAGAATATCTGATTTTATTCTTCCTGCAAATGAGATTTAATACCTTAGTGAGCCCTGGGTGAAAAGTGTGTTAGAAATTAAAAGCATATTTATGCTTCTGTCCCAATCAGGCAGAATTTTCCCTCATGAAATCTTAACAAGTTGGAGGTTTTTCTCCACAGGAAATTGTACATGAGCCCTCTCTTTTTAAAAACGACTGGGAGACAGGTGCTCAAAGAGGAAAACATTTTTATACTTCTCTCTGGGGAACAAACAATAGGCGTACCTGCTCTCCCCAACCAAAAAGTGACAGGAACCTTGGCTGTGACCTCAGTGTTTGATGCAGACATACTGGGCTGTTTACTTGGTGTTGGTCATTGTCTGAGCAGCTCCATTAGCCATGGGAAATCAGGCGTCCTGGTGCCTCCTGCTCTTGAGGTCACGTGTGGAAGGACTCTGCCCCTGCAGCTTTATCTGGCTACACTCCGGGGTGTTTGGACTACCTTTCCTCAGGGCTTTCATTACAGAAAGGAGGCCTGATGTGGCCTGACCCTGGTGAGTGGTAAAACCACTCATGTATTCATGAGTTTCCAGAAAATACAGTGGAACCTCATCAGATCCTTTCAAACTCCATCTTTGTCCTTTGAAAATGATGATATAATGTGAGTTACGGCAACAAATAATAATAACCATTACTCTGTACCAGGAACTGTGCTAAGTATGTGAGCATGATAAAACCTACACAGTGGGTATTTATTAGCCCCATTATACAGATAAAGACCCTGAAGCTTAGAGAGATTAGTAGTGTCACCAAGTTCGCACAGCAGTGGTGTGGCAGAGCCAGATTTGAGCTCACTCTCTGACTGCGTAGCTCGGACTTCTGGTGGCTGCTCAGTACTCTGTCCGAAGAACAAGCGCAGACAGAAGACCAGCCTAGAGGGACCTTTCTTTCATTTGTGAATTTGATTTTTAGGTCCTAGTGATTTTAGACCATGTTGTGTATGAGACTCCTAGTTTTTGTTTGCTTTTATTTATAACTTTTGTTAGAAAATGCTCATTGTTAATTATGAATTTCTATAAATCAGTATCAAAGTTGTAAGAAATGTTTGGCTTGCAGAGCAGTGTATAACAAGTATGAAATCTTTTACATTTAGGTTCTGTTTAGGATGGGCTAGGCACAGAGGGGAGCAGTATCTGGACCAAACATATTTCTCAGACATACTCTTTCAGGTGTACTTTTGTACATAAAATTATGAAGATTAAGAAAACATCTAACACTGTACTGGTAGTCCCTGTCTTACAGTGGGGTTCTGTTCCAGCAACTCCATCGTAAGTCAGTTTTGACATAAATAGAATATCTCATATGTTTTTTTGTTTTCATTATTATTGCCTTTTATTATCAGTATCTTTATAAATCCAGTCTTCGTCTTTGAGGGTTGGAAACATTACATATAAATTTACAGACATATTTTAATAAATACATACGTATGTAAAAAAATCACACAGATCATAAAAATTTACTCCAACATTGATGAAGAGTTGGACAACATTGGCAGTTTGTCAGGTGCAGTAATAATTCCACTTCTGGATCGTCGTGTTATCCCTGGGAATGGAGATGGTGTTTCTAGTCAGAAGATTAGAGTTATCTGTATGATCCTTTTCTTTCCTTCTTCATACATTTCGAGGTAACATCTCACTGCTTCCAAAATCTGCCTGCTGACTTTATTAGCAAAGCAATCAGCCTTTGGGTCCATGTTTTCAAGCAGCTGAAGCCCCTGTCCAGCTAGTCCTTTCACTATAAACTTTTTTTAACAACTTCTGTCCTTCCTCTTCCTCAGTATTTTTTTTCTTCTTCAGCATTTCTTTCCTCTTCCAAATCCATTAAGTCCTGATCTGTCAGCTCTTCTCCGTGATCTATGAGCTGTTCCACATTGGTGATATCAAGTTCTAAATTCAGCATTCTTGCCATATGGATGATTTTTCCACCAATCTCATTTGTCATATTATCCTGATCAGATGCTTGGAGCATGTTCACAGAACTCAGCAGTTTTTTCCATGACCCCTGCATGCATTTTCCCATAACTTCCTCCCAGGAAGATGTACTAATGATAAGACGTTAAAAAAAAAAAAAAGGATGGTTGTTAAGTGCGGTTTGTTGTAACATGTCGTAAGTCAGGGACTACCTATATCTCTTTTCTTGGCAGAAATAGTTAATCGCTGCTATCAGGTTGCCTTCAGTTTATTGCCATTTACACGACAGTTATACGGTATTTACAAGAATACCAACTTGAGAAGCTAAAATACTCTTTCTGCCTCTTGAACAAGACTACTTTAAATCAATAACAGGAGGATATATATATATATGTATGTGTGTATAAAACCAAAAATCCTATTGCCATCGAGTCAATTCCAACTCATAGTGACCCTATAGGACAGAGTAACACTGCCCCATAGGGTTTCCAAGGAGCAGCTGGTGGATTCGAACGGCCAGCCTTTTGGTTAGCAGCCGAGCTCTTAACCACTGTGCCACCAGGGCCCTGTATGTATGTGTGTATACGTACGTATATGTTTCTTTGTATGTATAGGTAGTATACATACATATGTACAGATAGATAGATAAACCAAAAACCAGTTACTGTTGAGTCGATTCCAACTTATGGCAACCCCATGTGTGCAGTGTAGTACCACGCTCCGTAGGGTTTACATGGCTGTGACCTTTCAGAAGAAAATTGCCAGGCCTGTAAAAACCGAGGTGCCTCTGGGTGGGTTCTAACCTAGTGCTTAACCATTTGTACCACCCAGGAACTCCTGTAGCTATATACCTTATGTATATATCAGGAGCCCGAAACTTTTTTGTAATCCTGTTTGCCTAGATTAACTACTATTTCCAGTAAAATGTTTTGTTTTAACTTTACTAACAAAATGGAATTTAACAAACAAGAAAAAGGGTGTGAGGCTTTTATGAAAGTTTATATTAGCCGCATAAGTTTTTGTCAGCGTTATTAGTCTTGCACACACACACCTGTAAGGCAAGGTCGCACCTTCCTGATCACCTGTCCACTTCTGCTCACTCCTCATTTCCTGTTCCCGCCATGTTTGCAATTCCCCACAGCTGGCCCTTTGGAAGAAGAGCGGTTTGGTTTCCCAGCGTTCAGTAGCATCTCTCGCCTGACCTGGCTGGTCTCCCTCTTCGGGGAGCTTTCTCTGGTGTCTGCCACTTTGGAAGAGAGAAAGGAAGACCAGTACATGAAGATGACTGTGTGCCTGGAGACCGAGAACAAACGGTGAGTTGCGAGAGACCATGAGGGGAAGGAGACCTAAGGACTGAGTGTTCACGAGGAGGAATCCAGAGGGGAGATGGGGCCAGACCCACAGCCCATCTCCTGGAGGGGCCCTGTGTCTCCAGGCCAGGTGCCGGTATTTCACTTGTGCAGCCTGGAAGGTCAGTATGACAAATCGGATCGCGTTGGCCAGGAAGTCAGTAGAGGCTTACAGAATTCGAGCAGGTTGCCTAAGTCATGCAAGTAATCAATAATCAAATTTAGTAGTAGCAATTGAGTTACCTCTGTGACCTGAATCTTTCCAATATTTTATTATGAAAATTTTCAGACATATAGTGAAGTTGGATGAGTTTTTTCAGTGAATACTCATATACCTACCACCTAGATTCTGCCGTTACCATTTTGCTCTGCTTGCTTATTCCATGTATCCAAATACTCATCTCTCTGTGCGACCAGAATTTAAAGTTTATCAGCTTTATCATCACATGACACGGTCACGCTGTTCCCAAAATGTTCTGACATTTATATCTCGTTGTTGTTGAGTTGCCACTGAGTTGACTCTGACCCATGGTGACCCCACATATAACAGTAAAACATTGCCTGGTGTCCTGTGCTGTCCTCATGATCATCGGCAGGCTTGAGTCCATTGTTGCTTTCTAGCACTATATCAGACAGTATTTTGTCATAATCCATAGGTTTTTCACTGGCTAATTTTTAGAAATTGATTGCCAGCCCTATCTTAGTCTGGAAGCTCCCCTGAAACCTGCCCACCACAGGTGACCCTGCTGGTATTTGAAAGACCCGTGGCAGAGCGTCCAGCATCACACAAGCCACCACAGTATGACAGACAGACAGGTGGCGGTGATTTCTCATACCAAGTCTTTTTTTTAACAAAAGCATGTTCATAATTTTCCTTGAAAAGCATTTGGGCTGTATAAAATATTTGAACAGTAAGGGCTTTCAAGCGTTTTTCTATGTGTTTCTGGGGAACATGATGTGGGAGGTGGAGGGGGGAGCAGAGTCTGACTCTGGGTATTACACGAGAGAAGCATGTATGGGGTGAGAGTGGGAGAGATGGCAGATCCCACACCAACGGCTTCTTAAACTCACACAGCACGTCCCACTTCACAAAATGCCCTTTTAATCTCTCAACACCACCATGACATAGGTAAAATTATATGCTTGTTATTAATATTTATTTTTATTGATGAAGAAATGGAGGCTCAGGAAACCTCTTGGTTAATGTTTTTACGTTGCCTCAAATCCTAAGACTCTATGCTATATGGAAGGACATGAGAAGCTCCCTTAGGTGAGTCAGAATATTTGGAATACCTCATATCTGTTGACGCAGTGAACAAGTTGCATGAAAATTAATCTTTGCCATCACATTCCAGAACATTTGAGTGGCTGCACCTTGTTTTAAAAACAAAAACAAAAAACTAGCTGTGGGAATTCATTTACTATTTTAGATGAAGTTAGAGCAGCTTTTTGTTAGAGTTTGTAATAGTTATTTATTTTCTTACATTTGAATCAAACCAAAAAATTGTAGTGGATGGTCTGGATGCCTTCTGTTACTAATTTAACTACTGTTTCCTGACCTGAATGTGGAGTTTTGATTTATGGGCTAGCATTAGGCGCACATGAATCATTTCAGTGACATCCAGAATAGAAAATTTGCTGAATCGCACTTCTTCAGAGCAGGCTGATCCTTGCTGGGCTGGCGTATACTGTATGGGAAAAAGAAAAGCCGTTTTGTCCTATGGACATAGCCGTAACTTCAGACTGTACTTTGGGAGAATGCTTTGGGGTTTGCAGGCCTCTTCTCTGTCTCCCAAAGCTTATCTTAGTCTGCAGGCTGGATTCTCTTTCAGCTAAAAGTAGACACTTTTCCAAAGCTTGTCTTGACACATTAGGAGTCTCTGCCAGGAGTCTCAGGGGATATGGTTCCTTGCATTATAGTTACCTCCAGACAACATACTGGTGTGGAGGAGAACATGGCAGGGGCATGAGGAAGCGGGGTTGTGATCTTGAAAGTTCACCAATGAAAGGACTAGCAAGACAGTGATCATCACAGGATAAATCCCTGTGATAACAAGTGTTGTTGTTCTTTAGCTGCCATTGAGTCAGCCCCCGACTTCTGACGACGCCACGCACAGCAGAAGGAAACGCTGCTGTGTCCTGCGCCATCCTCATGATCGGTTGCAGATCAGGCCATTGTGATCCATAGGGTTTATTACATTGGCTGATTTTTGGAAAGTAGGTTGTCAGGCCTTTCTTCCTAGTCTGTTTTAGTCTGGAAGTTCCACTGAAACCTGTTCAGCATCACAGCAACATGTAAGCCTCCATTGACAGATGAGTGGTAGCTATTCATAATGTGCTTGGCTGGGAATCCAGACAGCTCTCTTGCATGGAAGGTGAGAATTCTACCACTGAGCTACTTATGCAAGTGCTTAGATTAGCTAAATATTTGAGTGCTTGCTATGTGCCAGCACAAGGCCTAGCCATTTTACAAGGATTTACTTGTTTAATCTTTCCACTAGCTCTCTGAAGTATTATCACCTAGGAAACTGACGCTCAGAAAGGTTAAGAGACTTGCCTAAGGACATAGAGCTAATGAATGGTGACGTAGACTTCAAACTCAGGCAGCCTGTCTCCAGACCCCAAGCTGGCACCACGCCTTCTCCCCAGCAGTGGGAAGGGAATGTCATGGAAAACACACCAGGCCCTGTCTATATCTTGTCATAGTCCTCACACGTCGGTGGGGTAGGTTTCATTAGCCCCACATCCCAGAGTTAGCCAGGAAACTGACTCAAACCCACGTTCTTTCCATTTTACCAGAAGTTTTCAAACTTTTTTAAAAAAATTTTTTTATTGTACTTTAGATGAAGGTTTACAAAGCAAATTAGTTTCTCATTAAACAAATAATACACATATTGTTTTGTGACATTGATTGCCAACCCCATGTCAACACTCTCCCCTTCTCAACCTTGGGTTCCCCCTTACCAGCTTTCCTGTCCCCTCCTGCCTTCTTGTCCTTGGACTGGTGTGCCCATTTAGTCTTGTTTTGTTTTGTGGGCCTGTCTAATCTTTGGCTGAAGGGAACCTCTGGAGTGACTTCAGTACTGAGTTGAAACGGTGTCTGGGGGCCATACTCTTGGGGTTTCTCCAGTCTCTATCAGACCAGCAAATTTGGTCTTTTTTTGTGAGTTTGAATTTTGTTCTCCGTTTTTCTACAGCTCTGTCCGGGACCCTGTATTGTGATCCCTGTCAGAGCAGTCGGTGGTGGTAGCCGGGCACCATCTAGTTGTGCTGGACTCAGTGTGATGGAAGCTGTGGTAGTTGTGGTCCATTAGTCCTTTGGACTAATCTTTCCCTTGTGTCTTTGGTTTTCTTCATTCTTCCTTTCTCCAGACAGGGTGGGACCAGTGGATTATCTTAGGTGGTTGCTCACAAGCTTTTAAGACCCCAAACTCAAACTTTTTAAAAATAAGCATTAGGACCCTTTCTTCCACCCAACTCTTGTGTGGCTACCCATATGTAAAGAGGCACAGGTGTTTACTCTCCCGCGGAGGCCAGCTGGGGGGCATGGTGCCTGCCGATCCTCCTCCAGGGCTCAGGCAGACACTGACACGAGGCTGTGAGAAGCAACTCCTCTTCTGCTTTTGCAAGTATCAGTGCCCAGGTTGGTAGGATCAGTTTGCTGCTGGAGTGAACACTAATATTTGCAAATGGCTGTTGTCACAGGGAAGATGAGCAGAGGAGCCGTCTGTGAAGCTGTCAGGCTTGTTGGTCCTGGTGTCTGCAGCCAAGTGCTGCTGCCCAAACCCAAATCCAAATGGGGAACATCTGCCTGAGGCCCAGGTCCTGCCCTCCGCTTTACTCCACTCATTTGGCAGGAAAGTGCCAACAGCTGATGTCCTCACATAAATCCATGATTAGGAAACAGACTTTTCACATTTTTAGTAGAAATGGCCACAAAAGGGGCAGCAGGTTACTCTGTAAAAGCCTGTCCTGCTGTCTTTCTGCACATACAGGTAAGTCCTGGCCCCCTCCAGTGTAGGTCTTAGTAAGCTGGGCTACACCAGGGGAGGCCTTCATTACCCAAGCTGGAGGCAGACCTGACCTTCCTACCACACCAGAAACAGCATAAGGGCCTTGGGCCCTTTCCCTGCAACCCCACACCTAAATCTTAAACTGTATTATGGCCCACCACTCTAGAGGCAAAAATGACAAGCCCAAATGAAAGAGGACAAAGGCAGCTTTCTGTTCATTCCTTAGCAGCGCTGGTCTAACCTGCCCCCACCCCCCACCTCGACTGACTTACTGCAGCTTAGTGGGAGGGAGAGAGGAAGTCCCAGAGCTGGTGCCCAGGAGACAGCAGGAAGCAGTAAAGGGAGGGGAAAGCAACGATAGAGAAGCATCCAGAGGCCAACATCAAGTCACCTCTCTCCTGGGACTTTGTTCTAAGCAAAAGAGGGTGGGGGAAACACACACACACATGAATTATATTAGTATGTGAAGTTGTCGAATGCAAGATATATACATTAACTAAAAAATTGGAAAGAGGATTAGATATTTGGCAATAATAAAAGATTTTAAGCAAATTATATAATTGTACATGATATGCAGACAACAATTACAGTAACAATATTTATAGGTTCATAAAAATATTTTAAAGTAAAATCCACAAAGGAAGCATAATAAAAATTATTTATGCTTTATAATTTACAATTATGTAAAACCTATATGCCATATACATATTAGCAGATATTTGAAAGGATTTTCTCAAACTGAAGATACTTGTATTTAGGTGGGAAAATTAAAGATTTTTTTTTCTAATTTAAAAAGTCCTTAAATCAATGCTGTTTTGTTTTTAGACTCTTAAAAAAACAGATTTTATACTCTTTTCTGTCATGTTAGCCAATGAAGGTTCTCTCTTTAGGTCAGAGTCTGCTTGGGAGAAGGTTTCTATTTCTGTTTCCATTAAGCGGATAGCAAGGCCCTTGTCTGCTAAGGAGCCCTAGTGGCGCAGTGGTTAAGAGCTCGGCTGTTAACTGAAAGGTCAACAGTTTGAATCTACCAGTTGCTCCTTGGAAACCCTATGGGGCAGTTCTGCTGTGTCCTCTAGGGTCACTATGAGTCAGAATCAACTTGAATGCAATGGGTTTTTGTCTGCTATGAAGAGAGAAAAGACTAACCCAGAGAAAGAGGGTCTAGAAAAATGATGTCTGTCCTGGTTGGGTTTTAGATGTCTGAAAATCGAGTGTTGACATGAGCTTGGGGAAGCAATCTGAAGTGGAAATGGAGGTGCTTTGTTAACCAGCAGAGGGAGGCTGGTATTTTCTGTCTTGTATTTTCTGTCTTGTGTTTGAGGTCATAGACTTCATGGAGAATCTGATAAAATAAGAACTCTCTTCCATGATAATGCACGTCCCGGTGGAAACAACACTTCAGGTGGTTTGTGGACTGCCTTAGCCCATATCTTGATCCCCGAGAGGTATTCATGAGACTCAGTAAAACTCCTGAATAAAAGCTGGTGTTCATGGAAAATCGTTGGACAACCTCTCCTGGTTGATGGCATAATAGATAAAGGTTGATAGTAAAGGTAGAAACACAGTCATCCGTGACCGATGAGAGCTCCCCGAGGCTGGTGGAGTCAGGATGCCATGAGACCACGCTGAGCACCAGCCACAGGGAGGACGGGCGGGAAGTGGGCACCTGTGGTCAGTGGGCAGGGGCCCGCCAGCATCCCTCGTGTTCGCTCCTGTGTGATCACTAACGTGTGATTTCTCTGTCCTTGTAGCCCGCTAACATGGACTGAAGAGAAAGGGCCTGGCCTAAAACGCAACAGATATTTGAGCTTCCATTTCAAGTCTGGGTCCCTGGAGAATGTGCCCAATGTAGGAATCAATAAGAACATTTTCCTGAAAGATCAAAATATATTTGTCCAAAAACTCTTGGGCCAGTTCTCTGAGAAAGAGCTGGCTGCAGAGAAGAAGCGCATCCTGCACTGCCTGGGGCTTGCTGAGGAAATCCAGAAACACTGCCGCCCAGAGAAATAAAATGGTGGGGTGTGGGGGCAGTGGCACTTTCGCCACTAGACTGGAGCTTTGTTATATCAAGACCTGATCTTTATCTTTATTATAACAATTAAACACGTTTTCTTGGGTAAACAGAATTTGCTTATTGTCATGAGCTGTGGGGGGGGGTAATATTTGGGGGTGGGGGCGTATGCAGTGGTGACTAGGAAGTAGTTAACCTTGATTGAGCTGAGCTCAATGCCTTATTTGCCTGGTTTCATTTACTTTTCCCTATAACCCTATGAGGTGGACATTGGTGGTTCAGTGTGGGGATATATGCCATTTAAACATGGCTGCACTATTGACAACTGCAGCCCCCACAGGCCTCTATGCT